AGCGTTTTCAGATTCTTCCGTAAATCGTCGATTCAGTGTTCAGATCGCTGTGATTCAACTTGTTAGCTAGACGAACGCTGCTCTTATCTTTTTTGCAGAAAAATACGTTAAATTTACGCTCGGTCTTGATTTCGTGGTTTGCGAGCGTTTTCAGATTCGTCCGTAAATCGTCGATTCAGTGTTCAGATCGCTGTGATACAACATCGGAGCTAGACGAAGGGTGTTTCGTTGGTATCGCTCTAATAGCATGAAAGTTGCTCTTGGTCTTGCTGTCGCGGTTTGCGATCGTTTGCAGATTCGTCCGTTAATCGTCGATTCAGTGTTCAGATCGCTGTGATTCAGCATCGGAGCTTCACGAACGCTTGTTACTTCTCTGATCATGAAATCTACCTAACAGTTGCCCTCTGTCTTGTGTTCGCGGTTTGCTAGCGTTTTCAGATTCTTCCGTAAATCGTCGATTCAGTGTTCAGATCGCTGTGATTCAACTTGTTAGCTAGACGAACGCTACTTCCTTCTTTTTTGCAGAAATCTACCTTAAATTTACACTCGGTCTTGATTTCCCGGTTTGCGAGCGTTTTCAGATTCGTCCGTAAATCGTCGATTCAGTGTTCAGATCGCTGTGATTCAGCATCGGAGCTTCACGAACGCTTGTTACTTCTCTGATCATGAAATCTACCTAACAGTTGCCCTCTTTCTTGTGTTGAGCGTTTTCAGATTCCTCCGTAAATCGTCGATTCAGTGTTCAGATCGTTGTGATTCAACATCGGAGCTAGACGAAGGGTGTTTCGTTGGTATCGCTCTAATAGCATAAAAGTTGCTCTTGGTCTTGCGGTCGCGGTTTGCAAGCGTTTTCAGATTCTTCCGTAAATCGTCGATTCAGTGTTCAGATCGCTGTGATTCAACTTGTTAGCTAGACGAACGCTGCTCTTATCTTTTTTGCAGAAATCTACCTTAAATTTACGCTCGGTCTTGATTTCGTGGTTTGCGATCGTTTTCAGATTCGTCCGTAAATCGTCGATTCAGTGTTCAGATCGCTGTGATTCAACATCGGAGCTAGACGAAGGGTGTTTCGTTGGTATCGCTCTAATAGCATCAAGGTTGCTCTTGGTCTTGCGGTCGCGGTTTGCGAGCGTTTTCTGATTCGTCCGTATATCGTCGATTCAGTGTTCAGATCGATGTCTTTCAACTTCGCAGCTTGGCGAACGCTGCTTCCATCTCTTATCCCTAAATCTACCTTAAAGTTGCCCTCGGTCTTGTGTTCGCGGCTTGCGAGCGTTTTCAAATTCGTCCGTAAATCGTGGATTCAGTGTTCAGATCGCTGTGATTGAACATCGTAGCTAGACGAAGGTTGTTTCCTTGGTATCGCTCTAATAGCATCAAAGTTTCTCTTGGTCTTACGGTTTTCAGATTTGTCCGTAATTCTTCGTTTCTGTTTTCGATCTGAACACTGAATCGACGATACATGGACAGATCTGGAAACGATCGTAAACTTATAACGCAAGACCAAACGCCACTCTTTCACTATATCTGCAAAACCAACGAATTACCGTTCGTCTAGCTCCGATGTTGAATCACAGCCATATTAACAGCTGAGCTAGACGAAGGGTGTTTCGTCGCTTGCGCAAGTGGCGCTTGGTCTTCCGTTCGCGGTTTGCAAGCGTTTTCCGATTTTTCTCTAAGTTCATTGTTCATCTACCTTGGAATCAACCTCAAAGGTAGATGGACGGTTTTATCATTGATTTCGTTCCAATGGCGTAGAATTTGTTCTTGGTCATGCGTTCGCGGTTTTCGAACCTTCTTGGATTAGTCTGTTATTTATCGATTCCTTGTTCTAGTCACTGTCATGCAACATCGGAGCTGGACGAAACATATATATTTGTTTTTGCTCCCAAAGTACCCCCGGCAGCATACCGACGTTGGGCCAACGTCATAATCCATTGTTTCTGGAAATTGTCCTCGTAGCACCCCAATATCTTGTCAATTTATACCGCCAAGATGAAAACATTTTGCCCTATTTTTTCCATTATTGGGTTTACTACACGGAAAAATATTGTTCCAATCTTGACGTTAATATTTTCTGTATAATTTTTCCCAATAAAGGCATTTCACTATCCAGTTCTGGTACTCCCTGTACCAGAGTAGCCCCGTGCCCATGCTCAAGTCTCTGCCGTGCATAAGCAGGAGACATGGAACTGTGCCGAGCTTGACTGTCCCTGAGCGTATTCATTTTTGTACGTTTCATTAGGGGGTCGATTGTTCTACGTAGTACTTGTAAATGCAGATACTCATTTCGACCTCAGGACGAAGAAATATTGGTTTGTTATCACTAATGCTTTCCTCGTTTTAAGTCTCCTTACGGTTTGGAGTTGGACTGTTTACGTATTTGGCTCTCATAGAGAATATGAGCTTGATTTTTTTTTCTGGACTCCTTGATTTTGTCTCGAATATGCGGATAATAAATTATGAATTGTCTGACTTCATTGATTGCTATGATGACACTACGCGAGACATATAGCTAGGTACTAAACGTTGCTATGAAAGACGATTACAAGGAGAGAGGGAATGGTACGTCTGTGTACTGTGTACCTCTTTCTCCATCTACTGGCCTGAAGGACAACTTCAAGTGCGGTTGGCCACATTGGATTGGTCCAATATTGGATGAATAAAGATATAGAAATATCGGAATTTCATTGTTTCCCCAACATTCACCAAATATCGGCAGTATTGCCCAACATCTAGCCAATGTACCCAATATCAGTCCAGCATTTGGCCTCTTTCTGGTGCTACTGGGGTATGCTTGTCCAGCGGCCCCACGTTGGGCCAACGTCTTATTCTTACGTATGGCCTGCGTTGGGAGCCGCCATACAGTGTGGGCCATGGATAGGCTCCCAATATGGGGCCGATGTAAGTTTGTCCTTTCCCCCCATATTGTGCTAACGTTAAATATCAACGTTCGCCCCACTTTTTTTTCCCGTGTTCTCACAATTCTTCCATTTCGTTGCCAATGGGAGCGTATGCAATTCTTGCATTACTCCAGTATCGGATTTTGGGTCTTCGTTCTGTGGTAGTGAAGTGAACATTTTGCAATCAGCCATCTCTGCATGAAAAAGTTTAATTCTCGGCCTTTCTAGACGAAAATTCAATCAATGCATTTACTTGTACAAATAAGACTTGTGAGAAAATACACCATTTCAATTTTTATGATCTAAGATGTAAAAATTACGGAGTATATATTAAAAAATGAACAATTAAGCCAGATTTCTTTTTATATCATACATCAATGCACAATAATATGGCAAATGGAAAAGGTACAATCTACGGAGGATTCATGGAATTAAGTGATTTTCTTTGCTGCCTGCCTTCATGCTAGTCTCGAGAAAAGCGGGGATAGTTAGAGATGATGGTATTGGCTTCCGTTTCGGTCATGGCAAGCCTGGCTTTGCTTGATGGAGCCTGAAAATGCCAATTATCTTTCCTGTACTGATGAATTCACATGGAGCAACGTTAATTATTTCAATAAATGTATGCATAATGTCCATTAGTATTATAGTTGTCAAGGTTCAAAAGATCTGGTGAAGCATCAACTGTACCGGATGTTGATTCATCTGGCATGACTGCGTGACTCTGCTTGCTTGATACGTAAGCGACGTACTCTCCATCTGGCTTCTGTGGTGAAAATATTGTTCGTTCGAGTCATCGGTAGATGTCAGGAACGCGCTTTGAGGAAACGTGGGCGACCGTAACTAGAGCCAATGTGGGGCCAACATCGGCAAGCCCACTGCGAATGTTGGCCCACTTTCCCCACTCGAAGCCAATGTCGGTCCACCGTTGTGTGCTGCCGGGGAATGAATATCCTAGCCGACTAAGGAAATATTCCTATTCGGTCACCCGGTTCGAGTTATTCCCTTCATCCCCATTTCACGAAGTCTTGTGGTTTCCTGCTTCTCCAGGCATAAAAAATGCCTCAAGCACTGCTTCTATTCCATTTATTACTTCACAGGAATCTCGCAGGAAGGACATTGGCGATACGAGTCGACGAATTTTCCAGGCCAGAATATACGGTTTTCAAAGGAAGAGAAAGCTCCCCAGAGTGTTTTCAGCTTGAAGTAGACTTTTGATCATTTCAAATTTCTCTGCTTTTTCGGCCGAGTCTTTTCTCAACGCCAATGCAATGCTAGCCATCTGAGAGATATTTGACACAGAGTAGCTCATCACACTGGTTACAAGAGGAAAGTCATTTTCGGTCGCACTATTGGAAGCATTGCATCCTCAAAAAAAAAACTATATTTGAGGTTTTCTATTGAGATCTATATTTGAGATTTATATTTCAGATATACTGCAGTAATCGTTCTGAATATTTGGAACGTTCTGATTATTGTGAAAAATGTTTCAAGCACTCTAAATTACACGAGGGAATCGTTTACCAGGTTCCCTGGCTGTCATAACGGGCAGAGATGCCTCCTGACATCCCTACTCGGATCTCGAAAGGAGCGTCAGCAGCTCTCGATGAAAGTTCCGTTCCCGCCTCCACGCGCCGAACTGACAGGCGATGTTGGAACGCAGAGGCTCCGTGGCTCCCCGCCGGCGCGTAAACAACGTCGCTTGCTTCCTCTGCCGGCCTCGGTTTTACTCGGGAGGGATTTCCAGACTTCTGTGTTCGGTGGACGGGGATCTGCATCGGCTGGGATGCAGGAGGAAATGCACTTGCTGAGGAATTCGATGGCGTTGATGGCCGGTTTCGACGGTGAAGCGAGGCGTCCGTCCCGATCCCAAGGGTGAATCGCATCTGGTTCCTTTCATCGTCGTGTGGGAGAGTCTTCTCGGAGTCTCATCCGATTATTTTTCTTCGCCCTCGCCGGTCGAGCGAGAGTTGCGCGTGTGTGCCTGCACGGATCCAACGCGATCTTCCGTGGATGGCGTGTCTCGGGGCTCTTCTCGGGCTTTTGGCCCTCACGCTATTTTCTGCAGCCCAGACAACGAAGGAAAGGTGAGAAAAATCTCAATACCCTGAAATTGCACTCGATCGTTTTGGCTAAAGAACTCTGCAATCGCCTCTGATCCGTGCAATGGACGTTTTATTGGCGTCATCTCGTCGATAATTTCCAACTCGACTCCTTGAAGACAGGGAAGTCTCCCTCTCGTTCATTCCAGTTCTGAGATTTCCCATCTCGAGAAATTCAATTTATTTGCCGTGACGCCCCGGATTCGGATCCTTCACGAAACTGTAATTCCCCGAGGATTTCTTCATGCTTGTGCTCCCTTGTGCAAAAATCCTGGATTTTGCGCCTGTCCTAGATCGAGCCTGCAGACACATTTCCTTGGTTCTTGAATTAAAACAAATTACTGCCTGTCTTTATCCCGCTTTCTTAAGCTGAAAGAGCAGCGAAATTAAAGGGAGCAAGGTACCTTACCATGAAGCAGCAGAGAATTACGAGAAAAAAATGGATTCCCCGAAACTAGGACTCCTCCCAGTGGGAAATTCCCGAATTCCTGGCACAAATCCTCGTTTTTCCCCTGGGAAATTTTTAAAAATTATATTTCCATGCCTTCACTTGGTTTCCTCAAGAGTAAAAGCTCGTGCCCTTACCGAGAATTTCTAGTAAGTGCCCTTGATTAATCACAGGGCAATTCCCTGAACAAGCAGGCCCCCGTGACGTGCGTGCCTGTCGCACCGATCCTTTCGCTTCGTATAGTTCACTGCGTATCGCAGAAAAACATATTCTAAAATCGTGACCCGATGAACGCCTGCATAAATTTTTAGCAATTCGAAGCATCCGGGGCCGAGGGATTCTCACATTCTGTTTCATTTTCTTCTTTGCCCTTGTTTTCCCGTTTCGAGCTTTTCCCGACTAGGCCAGGATTCCCCTTTCCTGCATTTCCATTCATTTTCCCCCATTTTGTTGATTGTTTAATACCGCCAGCCACCGATGAATGACAATTCTGGGATTGGCGAGCTTTCGGCCCATCGTTCCGCATGTTCGAGTCTAAAAAGGACCTTTGCAACCTTGAAGCTAAACTGGTGGCTCTGTCGATAAATCCTATTGTAGATGACATTCCCTCGCGATGCGACAGATGGAGTTGTCATTCGCAACGCCTCAAGATGGAGTTGTCATTCGCAATACGTCACAGCTTCTTCTGATTTTTTTTTTCTATCCAGCTCCTTGGGATACCTGTTGACTGCGCCGAAGGTTCTCCGCTCGAACTCCACCGAGCTGATGTGCCTGTCCGTCGCGAACGCGGAGGGAGGCGGGAGGGCCGAGCTGACCCTGACGGGGGAGGTGGCGAATGCCACCCTGGCCACCCTCGATCATTCCTTCGCTAAAGGTACCCTGGATTCTCATTGAAATCCCGCTGCGGAATTTCCCGGAAATTCTCTCAAGAGGTCTGAATTCCTTTTGTCCTTGGCAAAAAAAATCCTTGGCCAAAAAAATCCTTGGCGAAATGTGTCGATCGCCGCTCGCGTAACAAAACGGCTCGGAAGTCGTTCCAACAAGGCACTCATCGCAATTCGCATTGGAGAAACGAAAGCCTGCGTAAATGATATAACAAAAACGAGAGGTTGTGTAAACAATAAAATGTAACTTGACCTGATTCGCTTTCAAGGGCAACGATGGCGATCCAGATCGATCCAGATCGACACGAGCCGATGCGGGTGGAATGCGAATCATAACTGCAGAGTGTAAACTCTTTGGGCCGATTGCATGAACGATATTTATTTTAGACATTGATTATCGATAGTCATTGTTTAAACGTTGTCTACGAAAGCATCGTTTAACCGCTGTCTACTTTCGATTGCGTGAAC